CCCATTTGGCTCCTATTTTCTGCTCCTCTGCGCCTCTCCCACTAAAGGCAGTGATTACGATAGATTCAAGAAGGGTTTATAGGAGACTGGTGGTGCTCAGTGGTACGCCAGTAGCGAAAAAAGCGGAGAAATCCGTCAAGAAAACGCAAAACGGGACCCCTTTTTTGGCCGTTAGTTTTCACTCATGAACAGGTAACAGCTCAGAAAGCGGACGTATGAACGAGTTCATCGCAACGCGTTTGGTGACAGCATGCCAATCCATGCTCCAGTCGAGTTGCTTCAGTTGTGCCGCTGCTGGCAACGCAGCTCGTCCAAATCACCAACTAAACCAGTGGGCGGATCGCTTTTGGGGGCGGAGTGCTTTCGAAGTCCTGCTCAGCAACCAGCGAACCTTGCGTCGTGAAAGCGCTACACCTCGCTTCCCTGGCAGCCGAAGTAACTGATTCGTACGGTGTATATGCTTCCGCGATGTGCTCTCACCTTATCTTAGTTCGCTGCCTTTAAATCAATCGGGAAATAGGCGTCACGCTAATGCCAAAAACGAATGTCATTTTCCTAATTAAGGCCTCAAATAACCCCTGTATGGAAGTTTACACCCGTAATATTGGGCAAAAGGTCGTGGCCAAAGTGAGCATCAATCTGACGCATCTTGGCGGCCACCGCTGACATGATGTCATTTCCGTAAGTCACAGATCGAATTACGCGTATGCTCAAAGTTAAGGTAGTCTCTAGGTTTACGCAAGTACACTGCACGAGCGGAGATGTTTTTACGTGACATTGGATAGGGCTGATCTATCGGAAATTAGGGTATTCGAGATTTCGTTTCACAAGATGTCACAGGTTAGCGCAGGTTTCTGGGAACCATTCCACATCTCCATGGAAGGTTTGATCTAGTGAACAGCAAAGTTCTACACTATCCAAAATGGGATCGGAAGCGAGCGCCCAATCTTGCCCCATAGGATTTTCGTTTCTTGTGGGCTCACTCATTCCTGTACATGTAAAGGCCACCTTCGGCCGGCGATGGCAGATGGCAATTGACTTCGATTTTGAAGACTATGAGGGCAGTAAACAAGATTATTACCTGCTAATGGAGGACATTCAGGAAAGCTTCGCCGTAGGCTCCCATGTCCAGTGGCATGCGATGGCGGTAAATACGCTGTGTGCAGAAAGGACAGAGGGAAAAATAAATAAGTAAAGCAGGCCACCTTGGTGAGATAAACCAGATGGAGACCATACTGTCAGCTATCTGACTGCTAAAAAGGAGTTATCAAAATACTGGGGAGCCGGTGTCAGACTTTGCGAATTCAGCAATTAGCTACTAGAGTCTCAGGTGTCGATAGTAGTGATTCACTAGTCGGCTAATGACCAATGTAATATTCTTCAGAAACCAAATGATAAGCGACTTCATCTTTACCTTTAGGTCCCGCTTCAACGCATTAGGTGACAACTTTTGGACAGCGTTTTGACCTTTTTGGCCGCGTGGGACTGGCGCGACTTTGCAAGTGCGGCTGCCTATCCCTCACATCAAGGGTTTTGACTGATGAATACGTAAAACGTGGATGGCGTATAGTATTTGAATAACTTGAAAACCAAACATCGCCATCTGTTTAGCTTTGCACGTACATCCTAATTTTTTTTCTTATTCGCATGTTTATTAAAGTAAAAGAAAACGATAGATGAACCGAATTGAAATTTTCTCGAGGTATAAAAAACTTAGCTAAACTAACACATATCTGACCGTTATGTGAACAAAGTTGTGCGGAGTAGTTATGCTACTGTAGGACTTCACAATATTTGCAAAAGAAAAAAATTCGAAAAATCGCGCATGCAGAAAACAGATAACATGGTGGCGAGACGCATGCGCACCACGTGTCGTCAACGTATCAAAGAGTTCATAACGGTGCTTAAGATGGTATCATCGACACCCCTACATGAATTGGTGCGAAATGTAGCCGACCGCTACAGCAAGACTTCTCCAGCCATTGAATGCTGAGCAAGAACCCGAAATTTTCTTTTCTAAGATTACGGATGAGCATTGTTATCCGGTTCGGGTGCATGTCAGCAAGATGCACCGAGGTAAATTATTGGATCAATGGAATAAATGTATCAGTGAGTGGAAGGCGGATGAGAATGGGTGAGTCTCTTAAGAAAACACTTTTCAGTAAGAGTCAATGAAATGTTTCAATAAGAAGAGAGAATACCCACAGTTATCGCTGGGTAGAAGGAAAAGCTTCTTATCACTTTATGAACGAATTCAAATTACGTGTTTGTTTCACAAGGCGTTAACTGTATTTTGAATTCATGAAAACATGCCAGAAATATTTTTTTTGATGGGAAGCTACGCTGAAGATGTGCATGAATTTTCGTTTTCTGTTCGGATGACTGTGGTTAAAAGTACCAAGGACAGTGAAAAAATAAAGCTCGTGAGTTGATAAGTGTCTGACAATATTGTCTCGGGAGTGGGAATAATTGTCGTTAACTTCGAATTGGACTTCTGTGTGAATTCTGAGTTTTCAGTGGGTTTAACGGGACTTTTTCCTCATTCTCATGAGATGCCAACTATCATATTTCTCACATGAAGAATGAAACTCTTCCGAAGCGTTAGCGTAGAGTCCTAGCCTATAGTAAATTGTGGTGAAAATTTATCTTGTCATTGAATTGGCATTCCTTGAAGTGTTTTTGATTGAAGAGTGATATGTTAGTCCTTAATACTTCTCACAATTTGAATGGGGAGATGACCGAAAAAGAAGATTTTGAGAGCAGTAAGCTTCATGGCTAGTGGGCAGTCCGTTTAGATGACGTTATTAGACGTTAATGGTGGATTGGACCTTTCAGCGCGCTGGGGCTGTGAATGCCACCGCCTTTTACACCAATTTACCATTGATATTCGGAGAAAAAGCCATAATCTTACCACCCTCCAACCGTTGTGGTCACTCCCTTTAGGTCCTTTTCCTGATTCGAAAGGTGTGAAAAGAAACAGCCAACAACGTCGAACCTTCAGCAACTCTACCTAAGTCATGACAACGTCCTTTTCGTTTCTTTTGTGCGGCTCTTTGATTTTTTGACATAATCAAGTAGTGCGGCGGAGGGAGAGGGGGAAGGGGTAATGACGTTGTGAATTTGTGTGCGCTGAGTTCTGAAACTCAGTCCCTCGAGAGGTTGATGTAGTGCAAAAAGTTGGAAACGAAAAATGTTGTTTTTGTCTATGCTCGTATTGCGTATTGAAGTTGTTTAGATCGAAGCCGGCCGTGGTTTCATCTCTCATTTTGAACGGTGTACCGGACGTTTTGCGGGGCGAAGTCTGGAGACTCCTAGCCAAGGTGAATCTACATATGTCTTGTAGCTTAGTTTATTTCTGCCCTCCCAGTGCATTTTCAACGAAATTATTGTTGAGATTAACCATGGTTGAGTAACACTAAAAAGTTAGAGAATCAGAAGAGCGTTTACATTCCAGATTCCGGCTCACGGAGTTCGGTATGAACAGTTACATGCGATTTTCTAGAACATTTTGGGGTAAAATTGGTCGTTGCTGCTAGATTTTCCTTCATTTTTTGCTTGTGCTTTCTTCAAAATTTGATGTAGTGGTTGCGTTTTTTGAGTGCCATAAAATCTGTCCAAAGGAACCTGGGTTAGGTTTTCGAAGACTAAGCAACTAATTGATACTTCTGGTCGAACTTTCGCATGGTGAACTTTAGCTTAAAACAGGAGCTGGCAGTCGAGGCAAAACAATTAAAAATATCTACGAAGACTGTTTTTGGTTGTCAACAGCTGTTTTTGGCCGCAGTTCGCCTTGCGGAAGTTTCACAAGAATACTGGGTTGTGAAACTCCACGAAGACTATTCATTTTAAGGCAAAATCCGAGATCGAACTATAAGTTAGCGCAGTGGAGGTGTGAAGTGTTGCACCAGTAATGGCAAAACGGGTAGTAAGATATTGCGAGAAAGATTGAAAACAGAAGGCTCTCCGTGAAACGCAGAATAGCCGATGTATTTAGGGGCGAGGGTATATTGTGTGAGGCATGATGGTGGAATGCCGTGGGCCTGAAATGCGTGGCAGGCCTGTTCAGGTCATTGGGCGCAAGTGCGGGCCGACATGCTCTGCGTTAGCGTTCCACGTTCTTGGTATCTCGCGCGAATAAACCTCACTTCGTCCAAAAATCCAGGGCTTTGTTCCGGATGATTGCCGTGGGCTAGTTTCTCGTAGACATATGTTAGCAGATGTGTTCTCGACTGGGCTACGGTGAAAGGGAAGTTGGCTCAATTCACCCTTGAGTGTTGCTGTTTTCTACGGCCCCTCCACAAGCTACGACAAGCGCTACCTTGCAGTGTTTACACGAGTTCTAAGAATTCCAAGCAGGGATGCGTATTAACAGGCTTAACACCAGGAACTACTCACGAAAATCAACAGGACTTCAGTGAGACTCAGGGAATGGAGTGGTCACGGGACTGAAGATGGGTATTATCTCATCACTCCGAACCCACACCGTATTTAAAAAAAGTTAAGAAGGATAAACCTTTGCATTGATCAATCCGCATTTTGGGCATGCGGCACGGATATCTACTTCCATTTCGCTACATTGGATAGGTTGGTGTTGAATGCGATGCGGGGGGCCAGCCGATGTACAAGTCAGTGTTTTTATCCTCCCAGGACAAGTCTGGTACCAATTGACCGACGGAGGGCTTGGTTGGCCCGGGCGACTCACGACCCAGGATTTGATCCTCGGATCGCTCGCGTGGTAAGCGTGCCACTTGCCACTACACCACTTCCGCTCCACACCGTATGGTATCTAAAAAATCGACGTACTATCTTCCTTGAATCAGAAATCAACGGAATTCTGCAACAGGGGATCGAACAGCTTTTCGTGCTTTGGCGATAGGTTGTGGATAATTACGGCATGTATTATACTGAATGAATGAAACAAAGAAATACAATAATATTAGGTCGGTCCATAAGTCTTGCAACAAACTGACCAAATTCGAATTTATTTTTATGTTTTTAATTTAATATTTTCATTATCTTTTTGTTCCATTCATCCGGCATGCTACCCTCCATCAATATCTACAACCTATTGCCAACACACTAGTAGCTGCTCGATGCCTCCCTTGTAGGACTCTACTGAATTCTGATCGAAGAAAGATCAGATGTCGATTTTGACATCATCATAGTTAGGATGAGCTTCTCTCTCGTGGTTTGAGAGGAGTGGTGGGTGCATCCTTTTGGCACGAGGGTCAGGCAATAGTGGTACGGAAAGCCTCCGCCGAGAGCTGTCAAAATTTTTCTGAATTTTCTTAGCAAAAGGTTTTTCAACGGTGTCATACAAAAGCAAACTTTGCTTTGTTTTTCTTGCGTAGTAAAAGCGTTGCAATCGAGCTGTGGATGGCTGACTTCCGCGTTGACTGCGTCATCTACACGTAGGGTTCGGCTTAAGCCATCGTTATCACCAAAATCCGGAGGAGGGCCTTACTTGACGAGGTTTGACACTCACTAGATCTCCCGAAGCATTTGAGCTGGACTACCGCCGCTTGTTCATTTGTTAGCATACTGTACCCATTCCTCATATTCGGCAAAGGTGATGGATGGTTAATCGTAGAATCCATAGTAAGTCAAATTGACATAACGAGTCAGATTTTCACAAGAATGCTGGGTTGTGAACAAAACTTTCGCCCCAGGCGGGACTAGAACCCGCACCTCTCGCTTTCCGGGCAAGTGCGCTACCAGTTACGCTACCGGGGGCATGAAAAGCTGAGTTGGATGAAATGGTGCCCCGGTAGCGTAACTGGTAGCGCACTTGCCCGGAAAGCGAGAGGTGCGGGTTCTAGTCCCGCCTGGGGCGAAAGTTTTGTTCACAACCCAGCATTCTTGTGAAACATTCGCAACGCGAACTGCGGCGTTAAAACAGCAGTTAACAAACAAAACAAGTCAAAATTCATTGCTAAAGCTTTCAGCCTCGCGGTCATTGCCGATATCGGCTAACCGGCTCAACACGTTAGACGTGTGAGTGCTGAAAGCTATGGTACGTATACCATGAAAAGCTGAGTTGGAATGAAATGGTGCCCCGGTAGCGTAACTGGTAGCGCACTTGCCCGGAAAGCGAGAGGTGCGGGTTCTAGTCCCGCCTGGGGCGAAAGTTTTGTTCACAACCCAGCATTCTTGTGAAACATTCGCAACGCGAACTGCGGCGTTAAAACAGCAGTTAACAAACAAAACAAGTTGTCTATTGTGTTTGGGCTGGAAGCTTTCAGCCACGCGGCGGATCAAAAGTTTGTATTTCGGAATCGTTTACAAGTCATTTGGAGATGGTCGCAGGGCTGTCTCCTGTTGCTTGCAGTAATTGCTCTGGACAAATGATCGATGATGAAGCGCTGTTGCTCGTGAATGTAGGAGAGGTGCCTCGCCATCTCGGCCAATCCTTGGTCTAGCATGACTTGCGGAATATTCCAAACAGTACTCGTGAAAATTAAGGGCATCAAGAGCCCTTTCGCGAAATCGGTGTAATAACCATAGCAAGCAACCAGACAACGAGCTGGATGGTTGGCTGGAATTGCAAATGCTGATGCTATGTCAGCAAATATGTTGCGGATTTTCTGGAGTTCTCCCAAAAAATTCTCTAGCATCAAATGTGATTGTTAAGACTTGTGGACCGACCCAATGAAAATAATGAAATTGAAATTTAGCCAGTTTGCTGCAGGAATTATGGAAAAGTCTATATTAAATAATCGGGTTTAAATAAACCACGATTGGGTCAGGTATAGATAGGGTGACAGCTTTGGCATAGATAAGGGGACACCTTAGCCTCAAGAAGAGAAGTTACGCAACCTCAAACTCGCTCATGACCGGTTTACCAGATTCGTCCTGGTTTCGCATAAATTTTTCTGCTTTAATGGTTTCGTAGCCTTTATCTGGTGAAGTGACTGTGCCTCTGAAGACAAAGAAGGTATCTGAAATCTCATATGAAGCGGAATGAAGTGACAGCTTTGCGTGCCATCGAGCGAAGTCTTGCAAAATTTGTCATACTCTGAAGATGAAATTGCGGACCGTTTATAGCATGGGTGGGAAGCGTTGCAACGGGGGCCGGTGGTTGCGCAGGCCAGTAAGGATTGCAGCCCTCACGTGCAACGGGGTTGCGGGCGAGAGCTCGGAGTGATCTGAGGTAGGTAGGGACCTTACAATTCCCTTCGCAGTATCCTTCCCCACAAGTAGAGCTAATCCCGGGTTTGCCTTCAAGTTTGGAATGGGCTTGGTCGACGAGTGAAAACAACAAGGGAATTCTTGTCCACGACACAAAACAGGTTCAATCAAGAAACAAATACAACAATACGAAATAGTAAATTGGGAATGTCGTCAGACATTGAGTGGAACGAGATGTAGGCGCGACGGAAGCAGACCCTTTGAAAAGCTCGAACGACTTACTTTTCTGGATGCTCGGGGAGGGAAAAAGAGAATGTTAACAATCACTACTCTGCTTCTGCCCACTTTACAGGAGGCAAAAGAACTGAGATGACATGGATTCCGATCTTATCATTACACAAATGAGTATCCTAAAAGTGGCCTCTAAGCAGTCGTGCATATTAGCACGATGAAGTGAATGAATTGTTCATGAAAGTACAGCTTTGGCATTTATCTAGTGGAAGACAAACAATGTGTCCACAATACGCGAAAGGTGCACACTGGCAGTGCTAGGCATGGATCGCTGAAAAGTGACAGATACCACGGAAGTGGAGCCATTTTCGTATCTGTGGGTATCTCATGGTTGTGAAGTCGATAGTATGTGCGTTTTCTTTGTAAGGTTATCAGCTGGGAAACAGCCGAATTCTAAACAAATGTTGCAAAATTAGGATGGTTATAAAAAGGCGATCATTCGTGTAAAATAAGTGAACTAGAATGATTTCTGTATTATAATATGATGAACAATTGCATTAGTGTGCTTCAATCTTTCATTATTTTCCGATGTGGACATCATTTTCTGAGTATAGTTCATTTTACTTTCAGGTCCACCTCGACCCCGACCTCGTCGGCACCTATCATCGATTATTAACACAGGTATGCCTATCAAAGATCGCCCATTGATGAGAATGAAGCTGTCTGAGACCTTCTAACCAGAAAAAATCATGAAGTCGGTGCGAACTATTTCAAATGAGATGACACCGACGCATTTGTCTTGAGACCACAACTGCTTTCCCATTTCTGTCATAAGCTTCTGAACAAAGTTATGGAGTGGAAATACACAGTAGTAATCATCCAGGCTCACAAACAACAGGTTACTGCCCTCATCGTATAACTTCGTATAATGTATGCTATACGGTAGGAGTGGGAGATACTACGCCAAACCGTTAGGGGTGATGCGAAGCCTTTGAAACACAATTTACATGGCGGCGTCGTTGTCTACAATAAACCTGCCGTCCTTCGTGGAGTAGCCGTCTTTCTAGTACAATTCTAAGAGTTACAGCCAGTAATATTCAAATAGGTCCCGAACGCTTCCCTTGTGAACCATATCGCAATTGTGAGATTCGACTTCGAGCAATCGTTTTCTACGAGTGGCACCGCGCCAGTGTTCGTTCTGCTGCCTCCAACCTCAACAGTGTATTTGGAAAAGGACATCATCTGTGTTCGTTACTCGCTTTAACTCTGGAAATGCAACGCGGGGCTGCGCGAGACTCGATCTTTCTCTAGACGAAGTTGGCATATCAATTGACCGACGTTCTCTGCCGAAGGTGTAAAGAAGAAGTGTGGGCTATGAGCAGGAATATGGGCGGAACTTCTGAGTAGACAGAGGCAACTGTCGTTAGGTGCCTTCGAGCACAGTCACAAAGTTCTGTTGCTCGATGGTTTCCGCCTCCAAACTTGTTCGACGCGATCTCGCATCACACGCTGTGCTCAATCGGTCGTGGTCCCCTATCCTTTTCCCCATTCAGTCGAGGAGTCTTGCACTATCAGGTGATAGGTAGTCTGGATCCTCTATGACAACAACAAGAGGGTCGCTGTATGGCTCCCAAAAGGGGAAGATCCGCCAGTGCAGCCCAAGCCAAAACAGACACTGAGGAAGGTATCGCTGTGCTTTTCGCTGAGATCGAAGGGGCAATACTATGACCACAAGTTGGATCCTCAACGCGTTAGACTGGCACGGCCCTAGAACGCGCTCATGAATCCGAAGAAAAAGTAAGGCCGAGAAGTATGTCCGTCTCTGCTGATACGGTGGTGTGATGCCTCGTAAGAAGAAGCTTCGGATAGAAATGGAATAAGGGGCTCTTGCACTACGCAAGCCTATTCTTACGACTTGGCTGAAGGCTGGAGTCATCCACACGTCAAAGGCTGCCCGAAAAGAGGAAGCTTGCACGACCTATGATCCATTAGCAAAACAATGCTAGCAGGGAGTATTGATCCATAGAAAAGGAAGTTGTCTGTCATCGCAGAAGACGATTTTGGCTGGGATGAGTAGAAAAGTGGGAGCATTCAGGAACATATACTGGTTTGGTAGTTTTGGTGTGTGACAGTTCGTCAATATTAAATGTTCATAAAAATGCAAAAAAAAACGGGCAGTGTACGGCAACCCCATTATCTTTGCATATATGCTAACGATATTGGTTGCTCAGTCATAATGGTTTGGCACGAGGGACGAATACCCGATCGTGAGGCCCGTCGCGCGGCAAAATGGCAGAGTAAGCGGGATAAGTCGCGGCGTGATGTAGGGAAGTACAACAGGTACGATTCTATGTGAGCTTGACGTGCATAATTTCTACTTGACGCGAAATCACTACAGTACGCGCTGCGACTCGTCCGCTGACTCTGCCTTCTTGCCGCGCAACGGGCCTCCTGTCGGGTACCCGTGGACGACCTATGCTTCGAAATGGCTCTGTTGTTCTACATCTCTCACTCATTTCTTTAGGATTGCCCTTCCGAACAAGTGATCTTGAAAGACATTCACAGGACGTTCCCTGCTCATGAAAGTTTCAAAGAAGCTGGAGGAGAAGGCCAAGAATCGCTCTACAAGATCAGCAAGGTTTTTCTAACTTTGAGATCATCTAACTTGCTCTATCGATGAGAACTTTCCATCAAACTAAACTTCTTGCTCATAGTGACTTTGAATTCACATGTATTTTCGAGCGTAGTTGCATATGGTCTCATCTTGTGAGAATTCATGCGAATTGTTTGAAATCAAAGTCACTGGCTTTTATCGGAACACTAGCAATGAATGCTAATTATTTTCTTCTAGGCGTACTCTCTTTACGATGAGGAAGTATCGTACTGTCAAGGGCTTTCATTTTTGGCGGCTAGTCTGCTGCTTCACGTAAGTATAAACCTATATGTAATTTGATTTTAAAGCTTTTCCTTCTTCCTCTGTAGTCATTGCTTCGATTCAGATGAGTGAGGAGCAAGCCTTTTGCACGCTTGTCAAAATTATGTACGATTATCAATTGAGGGATTTATTCAAGCTTGGCTTCGACTCGTTGCATTTGCGATTTTATCAGTTGTCTCGATTATTAGAGGTGAGAATTTCGTGGCTTTTCATACAACAAGCATTTGAGTATCACAAGTTTTAGGAATATGAAAGCAGCTTAGCTTCGCATCTTGAACATATCGGAGTGGAGACACACATGTATGCCTCACAGTGGTTCCTCACTTTATTCACTGCAAAGTTCCCATTGCAAATGGTGTTCTTCATCATTGATCTATTTCTCAGTGAGGTTCGCTTCATAAATTTTCTTCCATGCTTACTACCATATTGGCCGTCACTCTTCGCAGAACCTCCACAGAGAAAATTTGCGTCCACTTTTTTTTCACCGCTTTGTTGCTCCATGAACGCGGCTTCACACAGAAATTCATAAGAAGATTGAAAGATGGTCTGGGCTCTTCTTCATAACAGAGTGAATGGCCTGGCATGATTTCAACCATGTAGTATAGTCGGAGTGTTAGGTTCAAGAAAGTCGCAGTTCAAAGGAAGAGTAATTCACCAGGATCTGGAAGTTCCCATTGTAGTGTTAGCATATACAGTAGCGGTTAAAAGTGTACGCTGAAAAAGTTTCTCATGCGCTATTTTCACTCCCTTGTAGAATATTTGTAGAACACTGATATGATAT